GTGGTGTGGACACATCATATAAAGAATTTAGAATAATGGTAGCATCAATTATGGGAAAAGAAAGCAATGGAAGTGTTATCAAATTCACAGTAAACTTTGATGAGTGTACATTTGTGGACCTTATAGATAAAATGTAAATTTGGTGTAGTTTCATTGTACATATATATCAAGTAGTAAATGATATATGGTTGTAATATGATATAATATCAAATATGTATTTTGATGCACTTGTTAATAGGCTGTAATGGACTTGTTATCAAACGCTGTGGAGATTGTCATTAGCAGTCTAAATTATGTTACTGATATAAAGTGACAATTTCTCCTATTTAAAGTGGTTAATGATTTCTTAACACATATGATATGATGAAAACGCTAAAAAGAATTAGTTTTAATAAACAGTCAATTAATGCATGCTGATTACTTGTCATTCACTACTGTGAAGGTTGTTAATGCCTGTTGATTACTTGTCATTCACTACTGTCAAAGTTGTTAATGCCTGCTGATTACTTGTTATTCACTACTATCATAGTTGTTCCTTTTCTTTGTTTCCTTTTTGCAGAGAGATTGTTTCTACCAAGTTCTTTGTAGAGTGAAGCTAGCACTATTTGACAAAAACGACAAAATTGACAAGGAAGTCACATGATTTGAAGGTTGGATGCTTGTGGTGAGTTGTAACTCATAAGAGCAACCTGCATAGTGATCAAGTGTTGTCCTTGCTATGAGAAAACTCCCAAAGCAAGAGGAATAAATAAACAACCAGCATATATTGTATTTAGTTTTTTCATTTGACAGCATAATGACAGCTGAACGTAAACATCACATTTTGTTTTTTCATTTGACAGCATAATGACAGCTGAAAGTAAAGTTCAGATTTTGTTTTTTATATTTGACCATATAATGATAGCTGAATGTTAAGTTATGTTAATATGATTGGCATCGTTTCCTAGTTATGAAGTTATTGTAATGGCATTCATGTGTTTTGATAACCACAAAATTCCTTATTCCAAACCTGAATCATGTCTAGAAATGAAGACTTAATAAAAGTAGATAAATAAATGCTAACCATGATGACATGATAAGTATATATCACAGTCCTCTCTGCCAGATCCATTTACAGCCTCAACAGCGTCTATTGACAACCTGAGGGGAAGTGCTTAACAACCTTAGCAGTGCCCCTGACAATTAACTATATGGGATGCCACAATTTCTTAAAAAATTATATTATCAGCATATATGATGAACTTAACAATATAATGGGAGGCACTTTGAAGTCATTAACAGCTTTAAGTAAACCCAACAGGATTACAGCACATTTTTATTGCAAATATTCATTTACAACCTCAACGGCAGTTGTTGACAACCTAAGGAGAAGTGGTTAACAACCTCAACAGTGCCCCTGACAACTCACTCTATTGGATACCACAGCTTCTAAAAAAATTGTATTATCAGCACATATAATGACCTTAACAATATAATGTAAGGCATTTTGAAGTCATTAACAACTGTAACTAAACCTAATAGGATTACAGAAGATTTTTATTGCAAAGATTCATTTACAACCTTAATGGCGGCTGTTGACAACCTGAGGAGAAGTAGTTAACAATCTCGACAATGCCCTTGACAACTCATGCTGTGGGATATCACAGCCTCAACATAGCATCAAATTATAACCAAATGATATCATGTTACAATTTTAACTCAACAATCATGTGTTAAGAAATCATTAAACATTGCAAGTAGGAGAAATTGTCACTTTATATCAGTAACATAATTCAGACTACTAATGACAACCTCCACAGCGTCTAATAACAAGTCCATTACAGCCTATTGATAAGTACATCAAAATGCATATATGATATTATATCAAATTACAGCCAGATGTTATCTACTACTTGATATATCTATACAATATAACTACACCAAATTTACAACCCATTCAAAAAAGCACACAAATTGCATGTGTGGATAATGATGGACAACTTGAGGTGTGGGTTATGATATTTACAAAAGAATTATGTCACAAGCATTCACAAAAAGAAATATAAATAAGCCACTAACAAAGCTCAACTTGGATTGGAGTTCTGACAAGTCTTTACAGTGTGGCCTGGCTTATGGCATCTTCCACAGCGGTAAAGTTTTTTTATTTTGAAATTGATATTCAATCCTTCTTTTCTTTGGCCTCCCTGAGGGTCTTTTAGTGATTGGTGTGCCTTTCTTTATCATTCTTATTCTCACACAACCTCCAACATATTGCATTTTACCTTCTACACTATTAATAAATTGTCCCCCTATATGGAGATAACAGAATAAATGCTTCCCACTTGAAGTTGTCATCTTTCATATCAACCTGTCTAAATTGCTTGTTAGTAACAAGTCATACAGTTATATTAACAACCTTTGATGTACTCCTTAACAAGGCATTTAACAATCGCATCACAGGGCTTATAACAATAAAAACCTCTCATTTTCATCTACAACACAGTGTCAATTACTAGAAAAACAGAGCATCAATCACCAAAAAACAGAGCATCACCTTATAACCCTAACCACACATAACAAAACCACGCCTAAGATGATTAAGACCACATGTGATTAAAATGAGCTTCCCTTAATAGTTCAAGTGAGTTCATTTCATCCTTAATACCCACACACCTACAGTAAATCAACTTTTCAAACCAACATTGCACTTTCAATGGCTGTGGACGAAGAAGATAATGTTCTTAATAATGACACCTACAAAGAAGATGAAAAAAAAAACACAGCTTGCCTGGAATAATGGACAAAATGGCATCTGTTATAAACCTCCGTTCCTTCTTTTTTAAGCTTTTTCTTCTCATGCATACAAAGCATCCAACGCACCAGGAGAAGGCATTCCACTCTTTTTTTTTCTTTTTCAATCAATGAGGGCATAACAGACTTTTTACAATTCCAATTTATTACACACAGGTCCCTGGGGACTTAGGAAGAATTTAGGGATTTCCAAGAATTTTATCTGAATTAATTCTCCTCCGTGGGACCTGTGTGTAATTTTTCTTAATTTTTAATCGGTGAAAAATTGTTTCAAAATTATCATTCTTTAAAATGCACGCCTAATTTTACTGTACATATTATGATTGCCATTGTTAATTACTACTTTTTAGATAGTACGCAACTTTAAAAAAATTATATAACCATTTTTTAATAATATAGAAAAGCTTCAATCTCATAGATAAAGTATTAAATAATCAATCTGATCGGCATACTACATAACACTGAAATAATCACTCATTTCAAAGACTGGTTTGAAAAAGAATCTTGAATCATGAGGAAGGTACGTAAGAGCTTCTGTCTATATAAGAGACCTCACACTTCTACTAAATTCACGTAAGCTTCTTGATGAGATAACTGTCATTGAGAAGAAGAGAAACTTGCAGAGACACGCAGAAATACCTCAAACGAAAGAGTACGTACTTCTTGTTCGATCGCATCCTACAGAGATTAAGAAGATCGAAGATGCAGCCGAGAAAGGAAACGGACGAAGCAATGGAGATCGACAAGAAGAGAGAGATGGAGATTCAAGGAGAAAACAGAGCCAATAATGCATTTATGAGGTACGTTCAAGATTTTAATAATTATCTCTTCTTTCAACGGCGACCTCCGGTGGAGAGGGATTTGATTCATCAATTGACGCTGCCACGGAAGATGAGGGAAAAGATCGAAGAACGTTGGGGAGGTCACGAGATCATAATGGTGATACAAAAGAGGCTTCGTCACGGTTATTTGAGTGCCCAAGGCTTCTCAATTCCAGAAAACAAAATGTCGCAGGAAGCCAGAGGTCTTCTGAAACCTTGGGAGGTTGCGGCGGTGAACGAGACTTCAATAAAGAGAAATGACCTCGAAGGTTTTACTGTGACGCTGTGGGATCAAGAATTCAGAATGTTCAAGATGCTTTTGAAAAGGCAGCGAAATCGCTCTGTTCCTACCCTCGCTCTAACTTACTATTGGAAACATGTTATTGAAAAAAATAAATTGAAGGAGGGTGATATGATGCAATTATGGTCGTTTAGAAAGCGTGATGAACGACTTGGACTTCTGTTGCTCAACATTAGTCATAAGATGACATTACAGATTGTACAAGGTTTAGATGACTGTTTCTTAGTTGTAAGGACTTCTCGAGATCGATCTTTGAATATTACTTTGGAATTACTTCTGCAGTTACAATCTCCCCCCCCCCCTTTTTTCTTGTTTTGTTTTTCTGTCATGCTTTGCATGGTTAAGTGGTGACATGAGACTGACGGTTTAGATTTTATCTCGTTACTCAATTATTTAGATTTCAATGAGAGTGACTTAATATCTAAAATATTATACTTATGGTATAAATAATCTCAAAGGTAATATAACAGTGGATAATGGTTAAGATACCAAATACAGCTATTTTTATGTTATTCATCTTACGCAAGGTTTGATTAAAAGATTGGAAAAACTATTGAGAATGCAACGGGAAAAGTTTTGTTTTGTATTCTTTTTCAGTATAAGCATCAAAAGGATAAGCAGGCTTATATAATTGCATCAGCAGCTATTAGAATCACTTCTAACTCAAACTTCACATCAAACAATATTTCACTTGATTAGTAGTAACCTGGTTTGGTGTTATATAAATATCTCTCAAGAAAAAAAAAATTACAGATCAGAAAATTTCCCCAGATGGACAGCTTTTGAAAATGGCAAAACCTTCCCCCATGAAGAACCCCTTTTTTAATAATTATCAAGTTGGTGTGAATGAGATTTGTGACGTGACTGAACCAAAATAGAATATGGTTTATCTTTAATTCATGAAAAATAAGAAAAAAATTGCGTGTGGTTGTTCAGCATGGTACTCTGATGCATTTCAAGTTGAGTATGGGGGAAATAAGACTATTAAAATGTTAAAGATTGGATGATATGATAGAGGAGATTATCAATTTCAAATCATTTCACCACTTATATTTAATGAACTAAATATGAGTCAAAGAAGATCTGCATAGCTAAAAGGCGTAACCTAAGATATTAATTGCAATTTAAGCAGACAAATATAATGGACACCCAGAAGCAGGAACTAGTTCAAACCGGATAGACAGTTTCCTTGGTGTCAGAGTATTTATGTCTTCTCATACGGCACTGATCATAGTCTACTTTCAGCTCAACTCAGTTTGAAAAAATACAAAATTTTTGTATCACCCAAAAAAAAAATTTTTGTTCCTTTGTGGTCAAATTATTTGAATCCAGAGCAATAAATTAATTCTCAAAGCTTTCACGGAGATGAAGGTCGAAGGGTAAACAAATTGTGTTCTTTCTGAAACAGTGCATAACTGCATACAACTCAGCCTTGATCCTTGCATGTGACCAGTGACTCCACTTGAGTAGCCTGCTTTAGCTGCCCTTTCTCATTATGCATTGTGTCTCAGGAACCTTACTGAGATGGGTTCTATGAACGCAATCAGATTAGTAATCTGGTAGACAGGAGAAGTTACTTCCAAATGACATGCAAACCTGACTAAGCTCTGCAAGATGTGTTCATAACTGTTGCATCTCCCTGTTTCCTGGGTTTATGTAGTAAATGGAGAAACTGAAGCATGCGCAGGTAACTTCACACAGACATGAAATCTCTTGTTTCATTACTCAACCCCCTTACAATTTTTCCAATCCCTTTGGATCAAAGTGATTTGGAACAGTGACTTCTGTGACAGTTTGGATAGATTGAGAACTCCAAGTTGCAACAGCTAGGTTAGTGCAACGGAGAATATTTTTGCCCGAGATTTTCTGTATAAGGAACTCTCATCTGACTTCTATCATGCTAAAGCCACCGAGCTTGTCCAGTCCTTTATCCTTTATCATCCCTCTTATGACTTCTACATCTCTCCATCTTCCCAGCCCGGCATATATGCTAGATAGGATCACAAGTGGAGTTGGGTTTTCTGGTTCCAAATCTAGGAGATTCATAGCCATTTCTTTTCCAAGATTGCAGTTTAAGTGAGATCTACATGCTCCAAGCAAAGAAGCATAAACAGATGAAGATGGCTCCACTAATTCTTTCACTAGGTCTCGAGCTTCATCCAACCGGCCACATCGACCTAAAAGGTCAACTATACAACCAAAGTGCTCCGGCTTTGGGTCCAAGCCATGATCGTTTCTCATCATTCTGAAAATCTGCACACCTCTGTCAACCTCTCCAGTGTGGCTGCAAGCAGATAGAGCACTAACAAACGTTCCAGCATTTGGTCGAACCATTCGCTCCTGCATTTCATCGAAGATTTCAAAGGCAGACTCATTATCTCCATTTCTCCCATACCCACTTATCATTGCATTCCAAAATGCAGGGTCACTTGGCTTTATATCAAATTGATCATAAATGCCCCGTGCCCAAGAAGAGTGCCCACATTTCATGTACATGTCAATAAGTGCAGTTGCCAAAAATTCATCCTCATTAATATCAATTCTGAGAGCAAGTCCATGGATCTCTTTTCCATATCTCAAAGCAGATAAATCTGAACATGCTGACAAAAGACTTGTGAGAATTTTCAAACTTGGAGCCACGCTGGCTAGCATCATTTTCCGGAACCACAAAAGAGCTTCTGTGCTCTTCCCTTGTTGTGCAAACCCACTGATCATGGAGTTCCAAGTTGCTGAATCAGGATGCAATCCTTCGAGTTCAAGCAGTTGAAACAGTTCAAGAGCTTTCTCAAATTGTGCGTTTAACATCATTCCAGAAATCATCGTATTCCATGTTACTAAATTCCTGTTCCCTTCAAGATTGTTGAAGACATCAAAAGCTGAGTGCCAACAACCACACTTGGAATACATGTCCACAAGTGCAGTGACTACCCTAACCTCAATCCCTGTTACAACTTTGGTAATGAATCCATGAACTTGGCTGCCAAGATGAACATCCAAGAGACTGGCACAAGCAGAAAGGACAGAAAGCAACGTGACAGAATTGGGCTTATCATCAGAACATACCATCATATCCTTAAACACGTCCACTGCCAAACGAGGAACCCCTTTCTGCAGTAACCCTGTGATAAAAGCATTGTAGCTCACAACATTCTTGTTTACCAATCCTCCATATACTCTACTCGCAGAATTCAACTCTTCATGATTCGAATACATAGAAATAAGCGAGGTGGCAACGTAAGTATCTGATTCAACCCCCAATTTCACCGCCCAGCAATGTACCATCTCGCCATTCCTGACCCCATCACTGGCAGACAATAAACTGGCTAGAGTAACAGAATTGGGTCTTAAATTGCTAAATCCGATTATCTTGAATACCCTGAGAGCTTCTTCATGATACCCATTTTGCGAAAAACCAGAAACCGCCGCATTCAAAGAAGCCATATTTCGCTGAGGCATATCGTCGAACACCATGAGGGCATCAAGGAGACGATGGAGTTTCATGTACATTGCCGTAAGAGCAGTGGAAGCATAAGTATCTGCTTGAAAACCGAATTTGACGATATGGGCATGCAGGATTTGACCCAGCGAAGGAGATTTGAGCTTGGAACATGCTTTGAGGAGAGGAGGGAAGGTGAAACTGTGAGGAGACAGGGAAGCAGAGTGGAGTTGGGAATAGAGGTGAAGAGCTTCTCTGTATAAGCCATGTGATACAAGCTTCGCTATATCGCGCCTCATGGAAAGACAGAGAAGGCGACATTACTCCTTTGCCAGTTTCATCCCTCATAGCCTCTGAAGGACCTGTCCGGGGAGCTTACATTGCTTGTGACTTGTGAGGACTGAGGAGATCTCTTATTTTAAGGCGAAAAAAGATATAATTCATTAATTGATTATTCTATATTCTTTATTTTTTTTAATAAAACCTGAAAACTTCATTAGAACTAACAACAAAAACGAATACAAACAAAAATTAAAAACATATCCTTCGTCAACGTCCACCTCCTAATCGAGGAATGGAAGTTGATCAAAGAGTAAGAAATTCTCATCTATCCTGTGAACCAACTTAGCTAACTTATTTGTAATAGTTAGTTTATCTTTGTATACATGAGTAAGGTTAACTTGCTATTTTTTATAAATATTAAATCTAGCCCCATCTACCACATCCTTGAAAGGGTATTCAGTATTACAGCCTCTTAAGTACAGATTAATCGCCTCAATATAGTTAGTGATTAAATTGATTTTTGTGAACCCCTTGGCCCAACACAAATTTAGGCCGTGTATGAATCCACTTAGCAAATCAAAATAAAATTCAAAAAAATTTTAATTTTATTTTAAAATTTAGGAACTTTTTAATTTTTCCCTACTTAATATATCTATACTTTCTAAGAAAATAATGATCGATACAATAAAGAGTAAAATAATATATTTATATTAAAAAAATGTAATGATGTAACTTATAAATAAGAAAATTTGTGTTTTTTACTTTGTGAATAGGACTAGATGAGTGCTTTACTTATAGGGTTAGGATATTGAATACAGCCAAAAAATACTTTATAATGAATGATGCAAAAAAAATTAATTTAAAATATTGAGTATTACTAAAAATTATTCTAAGATGTTAAATATTGGTTAACTAGTATTTGTAACCAAGTTTTTTTTTTAACTAGTCTTTATAGTTTCTTTTAAAATTAAATGTATTAGTATCAATACTCACAATCTATTAATTAATGCTAACAATAAAATTAATTTAGGCATGTATATCCGTTGGCGAAAAAAATAATTCAAGTATATATTGAGTGAGTGTTACAATATAATATGCTAACACCATTTTTTATATAAATCAACAGATTATGAATATGGAAGCTCATCTCTTCACTCACACTACTTGATTTGTTTTCTTGGTAGGCTCGAGCGCAAATTAAAATCTACCAATTATGTATATAGGTGTAGATTGATATATACTCTTTATATTTTTGCAGCATAATCAATCTCTCCCTAAATCCCAAACATTTACTCTACATTTAACTGGGAGAAAGCTAGAAGCAGCCAAGCCTTCACTATATATAATGCGTATGTTGCATATTTATTTGTGCCATACTTAGGCACATTAGAACATACCCCTGAGGTCATATTTTTAGGATAGAGAGAGAAGACTTTTTTTATACTATTTATAGGATATTGAGAGAAATTTTTTATATGAATGTTGAATTTTACCCTTCATTTGTTATTGGGTTGGCTTTATTTACATGAGGTATAATATATATTAAATAGAAATAAAATTAGAAAGTTGTTGAATTTTAAATGAGAGTTAATGAAGTTTAAGGTTTTTTCTTGATTTATGTGAAACATGCTAGATGTAACTTATAAATAGGATTAAAAGAGTATTTAATTCCTTCATTGAGTTGTTTTCTTGGCCATGTGCAATTGGTTTGCCATGTTTATTTGTTCTGTGATATTATTTACATGCTTAGTTCTAACCTTGCACCATAGGCTTTGTGTAATTGGCTTGCTATTGAGATTCTCTTTTCTCTCACCCCTTTCTCCCATATGCCACTGTCGGTGAAATTAAAGGTCATCCAAGCTAAGGGCAAAGCAAAGCTAGTGGAGAACTGGACAAGATGGAAGCATAAAGAAGCTTTGTAGTTTTATTATTTTGCTATGTAACTTAATTAGAAACCTTCATATGTAATAAGTTCCCTAAGGAGACAATTAGAAACATTGGCATGTAATAGTTCCATAAGGAGGAAAAGAAGGGCAGTTCACATGCCCAAGGTAAGTGCCCTGTGAAGAACATAGCAAGAGTGTATGGTAGATAATTGTGTAGTACTTGATATAGCTCTCAGAGGCACAAGCTTGTGATTGATTAAATAGAATAAACAAGTGATTTTCAAGTTGTGAAATTTTGCAGGAAACTAACACACATCAGTACTCTGAAATGAGTCATATTTTATAATTTTTGGATGTGTGAATTAAAAGATATTATTTTTCAAAATTAGGTCAGAAATCTGCAAAAATTCCACTGTCTAGATTTGAGTAATGGAAGTTTTTAGACAAAATAGAATAGGGGTTTGTTGAAAACATGTTTTGATGACAACAAAACTAAGAGATTATTATTACCAAAAAAAGAAAACTAAGATTATTCACTTGAAGGAGTGAGAGCTACCTCGGTAAAAATCCTTATCCTCATCTAATCTGTGTGATTTGAATCTTTATCTTAGCAATGGCAATCAAATGAGAATCATATTTTAAGCCAAATAAGATTAAAATATTGAGCTTGCATTAATATGTTAAAAGACTGTTCATGCTCAAATGAGTAGCTCGAATCCTGCTCTCGACAAATAGATGTTCGAGCCCTGTGTTCAAACAACAGAGTCATTCGAAGCAGCTATTCGAATCAATCAAGTATCTGCATTTCGGATATTCAGATATTGATTATTTGTTGTACTTTAGTTTTATTAGAGTTTGGAATATACTACATCCGTTTCTTATTATAAGAACTTGTTTGACTTTCAATTTTATCCTAAATATAAGACCCAATTCACTTTGTCTTTTATATTTATTCACGTAATCCTTATAGTAGATGCACATATTAAATGTTTCATCAAATAATAATTCTAACTAATATACATGATTAGCAAGGGTATTCTAGAAAAGATAACATCTATTTATAACAAATAACTAACTTAACTAATTTTTTTAATCTTTTCAAATTAGTTAACTAGATCTTATATTAAAGATCAGAGGTAGTATTTATCAATGATTATTAACACGTTATTTCCAACCGGACCAAACTTGGATCAAGTTAGTTAGGTCAAGGAGTCCATGAAACCACTGCCACCTATACTAATTTTCCATGTCAGCACTTAACTCTGACATACTCTATTAGACCACCGTCACTGTTGTTGGGGCAAAAAAGAAAATAGAACCTAGGGCGGTAGGGCCATTGTAGTTGGAGATGGAAGGAAGATCAAAAATAACAGCCGCATGTTCCTTTGAAACTAATCCTCTTCTTTGTTGTCTAGATGCAATATTGCAAAAATATCTCATTCTCTTATATTGCTTCCTGATTGCTTAAAGAACTTGTCATTGCCCAGAATATATTCAATTATAAAAATTCATTATCCTTCCCCACGTGTTTTTTTGATTGTGTTGATTCACTCCTCTCCTGCATATAAATATCACTTAGCCACCATAATCGATCACACTGCAGCTCCCTCTATCGCCGTCTGGGCCTCCGTATCCGATCTCTCTTCCGTCGCCAACTACAGTGGCCCTAGGTTTTGGTTCTGTTTTTTTTTTTTCCCCCAACTTAACAGGATTGATTAACTGTTTGTTTTGAGGATAAGTGCTGACATGGAAAATTAGTATAGGTAGCACACTTTGATTGGCTTCATGGACCTACTTAACCCAAGTTTACTCCTTTCAAAAAAAGACATTTACTTTACAAATATGAAGCATTAAATGCTCAAACGGAAAACTCACCTACTAAAGCCACCTTTTTTTTTTATTGTAAAAGATTTTCTTTGTGACAATTTTTTTTTTTTTGGTAAAAGATTTTAAATACACATAGAACACTCAGGGGGAGTCACTAAAGGGAATATTAGTGAGTCTAACGTACGGCGGGATCCTTGTGTCTAACGAACAATTACTTTCAACCCCCTATAAACAGAAGCACATTCAAAACGTAAGCAAGTTTTGGGAATAGAATGATCATTCACGCGCTTGCACTTTGTTTTATTCTTTCTATTGTAATATACTATCTCCTCCGCTTCTTAATATACTGACTAATTTGAGTAAATTAAAAAAGTTTGTTAAGTTAGTTATTTACAATAAATGTATGTTGTCTTTTCTAAAATACTCTTACTAATCATGTGTATTAGTTAGAATTACATTTAATAGAATATTTAACATATCTAATTACAACAAGGACTGTTATGAAAAACATGGTTAAATATAAGAGATAAAGTGGATTAAAGTATTATATTTAAGACCAAATTAAAAATCAAACAAGCTCTTATATTAAGGACTAAAGATAATACATTTCAATGTTAAACATAATACTACCTCTGGTCCTCAATATAAGACCTTGTTTGACTTTTATTTTGGTCCTAAATATAAGACCTCAATCTATTTTGTCTATCATATTTATACTTTTTTTTTCAAGATAATCCTTCTAACAATGATAATTTTAACCAACACACTTAATTAGCAAGGATATTTTAGGAAAGACAACACCTATTTATTACAAATAACTAACTCAACTTCTTTTTTTAATTTCTTCAAATTAGTTAACTAGCTTTTATAAGTAAGGCCGGAGATAATACATTCTTGAAGCTAGAGAGTTATTACTTGTGATCTTCATTTTTTGAAGAGTTACTAAAATAGGACCTCAAGGGGTTGACACCTTGCAGGGAGTAAGGAAGAGTTATGGTTACCAAGTAATCAGTTGTGAGATTCTAAGAAGTATCTAATTTTACGAGTTAATATAATTTTTTGTCTTTCAAATCTTTTTTCATTTTGGTTTTAGTCCTTAAGTTTGACCATAAGTTTTAGTCACTCAAGTTTCTTTCCATGTAAACATTAGTTTTTATAATTTAATAAAAACTTGAATCATTTTGCATCTTGAGAGACCAAAACCTATAACTTGAAACTTGAGAACCAAAAATTATATCAATCCAATTATTAATATTATTTTTGCAGCTTCTGATAGTAAGAAGCTTCCACCTCAATCTCCTGATTCATGTAATCTGCTGGCTTTTATTATTATTATTTTTTTGGTTGACATTTTTATTATTTCAACCTATATATGAAGACGGAATAATTAGCAAGGACCGGTAGCCTAGCCCAAACAAAAGGGATGTGATGATGCGAGAGTCTTGATAAAAACTTCCAGACTTCTCTGTTGCTATATATGTTACTTGCCCTAGGTGTGCAGATACATTAAAATTCATTGGGAGAACTTTATTACCCGCATTTTGGATTAGCCAGAATCTCTTTTAGATACCAGATAGTTTGATATCAAAGATGTAAAAAGGAAAAAAATGGTTAATATTGAAAAATGCACGCAGACTCTGGATCTTAGCTAGGCACAAGAGATTCACATGCTTCAATACCATTTATTCTTCATATTCCATAAACTTATGAACATCCATCAAACAACTTATTTTACTGTAAGGAAATCTAAAATTTTATACCAAGGTTTCCACTGCTGGTCCATGACTCTTGAACTTGCAGTGAATACTGCAAGTTCCAAAGAAGGTCCTCTATTGAAGGTCGCTCACTGGGTACCTTGCACAGACAGTTGATTGTGATTTGAATTGCAGTCCTCAGTGATTCATATGCATAAGTTCCTTGAATGGATGGATCTATTGTGCTTCTTAGTGTTGATCCTGCTTCTGATAAACCTCTCTCCAGCTGAAATTACATAATTAACAGGGAATAAACATGAGAAGTGAAACAGACTTGGGACAGTATTTTCTTACCTATGATTCAGCAAATCTTATGATTTGTTATGATCTTATGTCAAGTGTTACTACCTCTTGTCCTTAATATAAGAAGTAAATAATTAATTTGCCGATATTAATAAAATTGGTTAAGTTAGTTATTTGTAACAAAAATATATTGGTTTCTCTAAAATACCATTTCTAATCATTGTGCATTATAACTACCCTTAATGAGAATTTTCTTATTATGTGCAATCAATAGTGGATACTTCGGGAAAGAAATTATAAATTTAGTAGACAAAGTGGATTAATGTCTTATGTGTCAAACTCTTATATTTGGAATCAAAGATAATATAATTTAGCACAAAGCATGTTAATTGCGCATACCTCATCCTTTAGATCCTCTATTTCACTGGCAGAGGAAAGGCGTTTGCCAGTAATGACTTCAAGAAGAATAACACCCAACTGATAGATATCTTCCTTTTCTGCTGTATCGATTCTGCACATGAAGATGAAAATCATATCATATAAACAAGTCCAATAAATTATTTAAAAAGATTCGCATTTGACATTTCCAGTAATTGTGTTTCCCCCTCAAACGAATTTTATCTGAATCAATAATTGTTTGTATTGAAGTAAATAAGTACCTTGCGACATGATTGGAGCCACTTTGTTCAAGAAGTGTCCTCTCAAAACCATTCTGAAAAATGGAAAAGGAAAATTTGTCAATCAGTAAGGGTGAGTTACTGGCTGCAAATATTACCAAGAGAATCACAGTCAGTTTCCATATTCTCTGCTCTAACCTCGTATGGCAATGGAATGTTATATCCACTGACTTTTGGGTTGAGATTATCATCAAGCAAAACTTTTTCAATATGTAAATCGTTTCCAAATATGCCAGGAACAACCCCTGTGTGCAAGAACTGGGTCCCTCTTGCAATTCCTATGCTTATTGCCATCCTCTGTGGCCATTTCAGCACTTGCTTCTTTCTCAAATCTGTCAAATCAAAACAAGCGTCGAAGTCATTAGCACTAACATAACAATATTAAAACATCAATATATATAAAATAAAGCTGTCTAGATTATATGCAATCCCTCTACATTTTGGATTACGCGCATATAACTTTATGATGAACTCTATTATCATTTAACTGTGGTATGTAGCACTCTCATGCAAATTGCTTTCTTGGGTTAATTTACCCATTATTATGTAATATGATTATATTAAATATATAACAAAGTTTGATATATTATTTGCACATATATTTTAAAGTTTGAAGGGTAATCTACACAAAAAAGGTAAAACTTAGAAAGTTATGTGGTCAATAACATGTCGCGTTTCATTAGTAATAACAATAAAGGATAATCTCCACAAAGCTTCAAAATTTAGGAGTTCCTTTTTGTGTCAAGGAGTTACTTGCACATATTTCAAAGTTCAAGAGAGTATATGTACGTATATGCACACCCATAAATAGATGAGTAATGCATCTATTTATGATCGCGTCAGAAGTTCTGCACAAGAATCCTGAATTTATGTAATTATGATACCTGAAAGATGATCCCTGAGTGACCCATTTGAGAAGTGCTCAAGGACAATGAAGACTGTGCTTCTTAGTTGGGAATGGTCTTGAGGAGTAATGACACAGTGTCCTAGCACACTTACTAAATGCCTGTGCCTCAAACTGGGTAAAACCTCCATCTGTTTCATCAGACTTTGGGTCAAGTTTTTCTGTGTTACTTCCACAGAGTTGAAAAGGACCTCTGAACCATCTCTGAGCCAACCTTTATATATCTGTGCAAGTAAAATAAATATACTAAGTGAATACTCCAAACACACACCATCATTAAAACTCTGCCCTTGTGGTTGTGGGCCCCATTCAATAGACAAGAATCTTTCTTTGTTTTCTTTTTTCTTTTTTTTTTTTTTTTTTTTTTTTTTTACCTTTCCTTTAGGTCCTTCTGATACTAGATTTGAGGGATCAAAGTTGTTTGTTGCATCTTCAATTTCTTCTGATGTGAAAATTCTATATGGCGGGAGTCCAAGTGCAGATAGCCTCATTGTCTGAGGAACACGTCCTTTTCCCAAAGACAAGAAGAAGATTAGATTAGCTGTCATTGAAGCATGAAAGGAAACGAGAAAATAAAGTCAAATTAATGCATCGCTTAGGTGAATTGGAAAGTAGGTGTCAGGCACTCAAAGCTTATGCGTCAAAGGCTTAACCCCACCTAACACTCTCTCGTACTTAATATAAAATCTACTTATTGAGTTAGTTTTGATCCTAATTATAAAATTTATTTTTCATATTTATCAATTTTTTCTAAATTACCCCTATGTAGAAGAAGAAAAGGGAGTATTAGAAAAGATGATTATAGTATTTTAAGAAAAACGAGTCACATTTCTTATAATTAATTAACTTACTTAAATTTTTTAATCTAATTAAATTAGTTAAATAAGTCTTATATTAAGGATAAGAAAAGTAAAATTTTATGATTTCTCTATTTTATTAACGGTTATTGCTTGAACATAATACAAAAAACACGCACATACTATATTTGTTAGAAACGAATCTAGATCTTGAGATTCGAATCTTGAATTAAAAATTAAAAAAAAAAATCTAAGTATGATCCCCTGGATAAAAACTATCTCCATATATTTCTTTATCTGCAAGTACGATTCTGGAGAAAAATTACAACCTATCCTAGTTTGACTTGTCGTGCCCCCCTGGCGAAATATCCTAGTTTGACTTAAAATTAATTTGCATTCTTATATTTTAAAATGCAGCATTTGCCATTTAGTGTCTCATGAATTGTTTTGTAACTACTTAAGTTCTACGGGATGGTACTTTACAAATTGTAACATTCAACTTTTGAATTAAAAAAATGGTTACCAAAAAACCATTTGAGTAAAATGCATTCATAATTGAAATATCTTAATTTTCTGAAATAATTTCATAATCAAATAAATATTTTTAACTATATTAACTTAACCTGAATAACTATATCCAAGGACTATAACGTTGTTAATAAAATAATTGTTGTTTTAACTTTTATATTGTTTTCAGACGAACCTGGGCTAACAAAATGAAAATTCAAAAACATACTATCACCTCATTATTATATATGTGTGTGCGTAGTTGTACGAACCTAAATGAAACTAATATCGCATCACAAAAATTGAATGGTTCACTTTAAACGTAAGAATGAGAAATAAATTCCAAGTGTAATCTACCAAATCAAAAGAAAAGATGGCCTTACTTGCATGAACATTTGGTCTTGGGAGCTTATGAACATTAGATCTGTCAAGATCCTTATCATGTGTTCTGTCTCCTCTGCATTTCTTCCATACGAACACAATGAACAGTAACAGAAGCACAGCGAATCCAACTGAACCTCCAATAACGCCAATCGTCAAAAGAATTCTCAGACCTGTCTCCTTCTTCTGACTTCTCTCCAGAGGCTTCACAGCTAAGGCCTTCTCTTTAGTACAATATGAGGATGGATGTTGATGCTTGCCCGTTGAGCTTCTAGCTGAAAAGCAATTCCCAGAATACAACACAGTGCGATTTGAGGACTTTGATGATCCAAAACAAGGTGGGAATTTTCCCATTAAAAGGTTGTCTGAGAGATTCACAAATGTTAGCTTAGAACTACAGTTTATGTTCATAGAGGATCCACCGGTGAGTTGGTTTTGAGCTAAGTTTATGTGCACAATGGAAGGCAGAGAGAAGAGAGAAGGTGGGATTGGTCCAGAAAATTCATTGGAAGAGATGTCAAATTCTTGAAGCTTGTGAAAATACATGATTCTGGAAGGAATCTGAAACTTAAATGAGTTGTTTTTCAGAATAATTTTGGCAAGATTGTTCCCCGTTGAAGGGAATTCAGAACCCAGTTTGTTTCCACCCAGATTAAGTTCTTCAAGGAAAGCTAGTGGTTTCAGATCCGGGACACTGCCATTGAAAAAATTATCAGCCAAATTCAGACCCCTAAGGCTTTTTATAGAACTGATTGAGAATGGGATTTCACCATAGATGGAATTTGAGGTAATGTTCAGAACTCCCAGCGACCAGAACCTATCTATCTTGGCGGGTAAAGGACCCCACAAACCCAGAGACACAAGTGACAGTACCTTCAAACTTGATAGCTTCGTCAAGACAGTAAAGAAAGAGTCAATGGAGAATCTTTCTGAAAGAGTTTGAGACGAAGAAGATGATGAGACCTTGTTCCCAACAATGGCTAGTTCTGTCACATGGCCGTTGGAGCAGACAATCTTGACAGAAGGTGACGGAGGGAGATAGCAGAAGTTGGTCCATCTTCTCCATCCTTGAAGAACCTGAGGATATTCAAGCAACCTCTTGACCTGGAGAAGAATTATTCTCTCGCTTGTGATCAGTTGTGCCGTTGAAACCTGACCAAGCAGAGAAACAACGATTGCAGGGAACAAGAAAATTAAAGAAACCCAGGAAATCTTCATATTCTCAGGAGATAAAAATTGGCATTTGGCCTGAAGAAAGAAGCAGAAATGTGACTGACACGCACAGTAAATTTCTCGAACGCCACCTGTGCAAGAATCGCTAGAGCGAATTCTTGTGCTTGATTATATCATACTAGTCCAATAATTTAGACAAGAAAAGTTTATTTCCGTTGCATAATGATTGCGAGAAAAGAAGCTTTTTTAATTTTTACGAGGGATAAAAGAAATCACCAAGGTGGAGTAGGTAGGAAAATGGGGGAGAAGATTCAACTTTGTAAAGGGAAAAGGGGGAATCTGAGATCTGGAAAGAGTGAGAGATTTGGAAAGCTGAGTCTGAGTGATGCCAGCATGAAAAGAGAACTTGGTGCAAGTGTATGGGCATGAACATGGAGGGTAAAAGGACCTAAAAGGCAAGAGGAGTAATCAGGTGCTTCGCGGACCCTCGCATTAAATAGCTACCGGGCTTTTCTGCTGTTGCACATTGCCACGTGTGGAGGGAATGGCATCATACAATAGTGGTATTATTTTTGTCAAATTCAACGTAACTTTAAACCTATTGGAAAAATGATGCAATTATTTTTTTCAGAGAATTTTTTAATAATAATTATTTAACATTTAATCATTTTCAATTATTCCCTTTTCAAATTACAGGAAAATATCATGAAAATATTTTATTTAGGTTTGAATCCTAGTATTATTTAGGAAGATATTAAATTTCTTTGACTCAACCTAGTCATTATTGGTTAATCATTCGATTTTTTCTATATATAATTAACTAGCATTAATATTAAAATTCAATAGAAAAATAAATAAAAACTATGCGTATGATTATACATATAAATTATATGAACCTCCTATTCTATATATTAAGAAATTATTTATATGATTTATGACTTGCCAATAATATAGTTTTTCATCAGCAAAATTTAAACTATCCACCTTATTTAGTGGACTATTGAGCTTCTTCCACTCAATTACTACTTAGCTACTACTAAATAACTCTGAAGTTTTTTCCACAGTTTTATCCTATATAATGAACGTGACTAATATTAATATTAGTTTAGTTTTTAATATAAGACTTATTTTGTAGTGTAATTTATACTAGAAATGATATTATGTTTAGGACAGAATGGAGTATTAAAATTTAATGTGTAAATAAAAATATATTTGTATGATTATGTATATTTGCATCTTATATCTATTCGGCCAAACAACTTTTTTATTTATTTTTATCTTTTTTCTGCAAAAACACTAATACATTGAAAACCATGCTTTGAGGTGGAAAACGAGACCTTCTCAGAAGCCTTTTCTTTCGGACTTTTAGGGTGGAAAACTATGATTTAAAATGTAATAACAACAATATCAAACATATTATGCTAAAAATATTCTCATCTTCTTATTATTTTTTATATAAATATCACATTAGCTTTTTTTTTTGTAATTTACATATGAAAAAGTAATTTCCGTTACAACCATTCAAATATCAATTTTTATCAATATCATTTTTTTTACCAACTATCAATATCACTTTTTTTTTATAATAATTTATTTACTTGAAATTTATTCTCAAAATAACTTTGTTTTTTTGTGAAACTGTTTTCCAAAAGCTAACTCTAATACTAATATTTTAAAATCTAAAATGATATTTTATATTCATAATTAATGGATGATATGATTGGTAAATTATAAATCCGATATGATGCATGAAGAAAATTATGATGAGGCTGGCGCAATCATTGTCATGAGAATAATATAGCTGTACAAATCGATAAGTGATGGAAAAAGCTCTTCAAAATTTGTTGTCGTTTTGGAGTTTTTTAGTTTTGGAGTTTGTGTCGGTGACAGTGTACCTCCAAAGGGAGGCATTTTAAAGCGTGAGGGGCCAAGTTGGCACACACATTTAGGGAAATCATGAGACTATTCTTTACATTAGTTATTGTTGCCAAAAGCACACCAGGCTTTTAGTTATTTCATTTTTCACCTAATCCCGTCCTTCTTTGTTTGTTATATTTACATTGGATACAGACAATTAATGTTTAATGTTTAGTACGTACTCTTCTTTTCTTTGTTATAAATTTTAAATTAACTAATTTGTGTACAGTAAATAATTAATTAAAAATAATAAATAGGTTAAAAATGTATTTTATTTATAAATATCTCCATATAATAAATGAGAAAAAAATAAAAAAATAAGTGAGGAAATGTGACAAAAGAGAGTACGATAGATAAAAGAGAATAAATAATTAAAAATAAAATTAAAAAATTATTAAAAGTAAAATTAAAAAATTATATTAAATATTAAGACAAACATAAATTAAAACTTATAAAATGAATCACAGTTATTTTTATACTTGAGCTATTTTTATACTTGAGAGGGAGTATTATTGAGAGAGTTGGCAAGAAAATACTAATATTTCCATTTAAATAGAAGACGTGCTTTATAAATTTCTTTTTTTGGTTTTAGTATATAATTATATAAGGTACTCATATTGTAGAAGAAGAATTGACAATTTTTTTATCTAAAGCATATCTAGAAATATATCAAAATTAATTATTTCCTACCGAATAAATAATTAGTAATTGACAATATTAAAGCAGGGTGAAGTTAAAAAAGGTGAAATCTTAACTATCTAATTATTTTTTATGGCTGGTGTGTTCAGAATTTTAAATTCCTCCCAATCCTATTTACAACATATTTTTTTTCACAATGCCTATCTACAATATATTGTTAAGAAAAAATTGTACTAAGATCCCACAAAAGATAAAATACTGCAAAAAGATTCATAAATATCTAATAATTGCTTTGAAGTCCCAAATAATGAAAAAGTTGAAAAAACCTTGTTGCCCCTACTATAGAAAAAGTGCTGAAAAGAAAAAATTCTTAACGTAGGCCATAATAGTTATCAATATTACTGCTTCATTTGTCAATTTATTTATTGATATAAATTTTTTTAAAAAAAATTAGATTTCAAGTTACATAGTGTAACATCCTGATTTTGTTATCTCTCAGGTTTAAGTAGATATTTATGACAATCCAATAAAAAAAGGTTGAATATGTATCTAAGCAATTAAAATAATTCTGATCTTTTGTGTGTGTGTGTGTGAAAAAATGAATAAAATAGTAATGTTAAGAAGTCCCATATTGACTATATGATGGGAAAAGAGAGCTCTAGGAGTCTATATATAGGTGGTAGTAGGAGAGAGTTAAAGATGAACTAAATAATTTTGATACAAAACTAAAACAATCTTAGTAAAGTGCTATTTACAAGTTTGTGAACCGATAGATTGAACTGCAATTTGGTCAGCTGGTCCTAGACTTCATACACGTCAATTTCAACGATTGGATCGTCAACTTGATCTCTGAGTCACAAGTTATCAGGTACTTTTTTTAATTTATTTTTTTAGATTTGGTAGATAAAATACTAGATAGTAAATTGACGTCTTTAAATTCATTCACTTTTGGATTAACCCAAAATGTAGAAAGTAGACTTGTGACATATAAGACATTAGATTCAATGATTAGATTAATAATTAGACTTTTACAGTAAGAATAAATTAACTAATATTAAGGTCATCTGTCTAAATTCTTCGAAGATAGAATATAAGCTATAAGTTAAGGGTTCTCTATCTAGGTTATGAATTTGGTGATTCAAATGATATAATTTAATCATTAAAGATAATGCAAGTTAAGGGAACCTAGGAATTGAATATAAATCATCATATATATGTTCTTATCCCAAACCTAAAAAACGCCTTTCGAGTGATAGTTGAAGATATTAGAGGGAGCATTAAAGACTAGAAATTGGTGAGTAGTTTACTCTAATACTATAAAGATAATGTTTTAGTTTCAATTGTAGATATAAATACTACTATGACATTTTCAAGTACGGGCCTCGTTTGTACTTAATTGTTAGCTAGGAGCCTAGGTAACTAAATTTCTATCTGTTGTATGCTCTAATATAAGGTTGGTGAGTGATTTTATTACCAATTTTTGTATGCATATATCATGCTTTGTATAAATTGTCTTGTGGTCGTAGAGCTGTCAAAACGGGCCAAGCCCATCAGGTCAGTCCTTTTAAGCCCTTTTAAGTGGAGGGCCGGACTTGTATTTTAGGTGGTTTAAACAGAAATTGAGCTTAAAAGGGTTAGCCCTATAGGGCTCAAAAATAAAAAGGCCAACCCTTTAGGGCCAAGGGCTAGCCCTTTTAAGCCCGTCTATTTTTTTTTATTATTATCAATATATTTATAAAGTTATAGATTAGTCTTTTATGAATAAGTTTAAATTAGAAAAATACTTAGAAGAATCAGTATTCAAGCTAGATAATTGAAAAGAATTAGATGTCTTGGACTTGTGGAAGAACAATTAAAATCAATTTTCAATTCTTTCAAGAATGGTAGCTGATATTCTTAACATGTTAATCACCATAATAGCTAGTAGATCTTCATTTACCATCGGTTTACATATCTTAACAAAGTGTAAAACTTTTCTTATTCGAACAAATATTTAGGCTCTTATTTGTACTTATAACTACTGCATAGTTTTATTTTAGATAAGGTGAATGAAGACAAAAACCTTAAAATTTTTATCACTGAAGAAGAGCTCACTTGTAGTAAAGAACAATCAAATATTACTGATCTTGATGATACTGATGAAATGAAGATAAAGATAATAATGATGTTGATATTGTTAATCTTTAACTGCTAGGTTTTTATCTTTCTGTTTTTTGTGTTTTCTTAGATTTTGATTTTTTTTCTTATTTTGGACAATAGTTTATTGGCATTTAATTTTTTTTCTATACACCACTAATTTATTTTACTTATATTTATAATTTGAATCAAAAATCTTAGAAGTTTTGTTGTTTTATTTTTTATTTTAAAATAATTAAAAAGAATTTAAATTTTAAAAAATAACATAAAAGGGCCAGCCCTTTTAAGTCTTGAGCCCGCATGTCTAAGGGCTGGGCTTTAATAATTAGATAATTTTAAGATATGTGGTCTTTAAAGGGCCGGCCTTTTTAGGCCCTGGTCTTTCAAGGGCCGGCCCTTTAGGGTCGGGCTAGCCCTTATTGACAGCTCTACTTGTGGGATGCTATTTTGAAAAAAGATTGAAATATTTGTATTGTTAGAAATTAATGATTATGACTAGGAGTATATTATTCTGAAATTTGTTTGATTACGCATATAAATGTGTTATTGTGAACCCTGTGCATCTAGTTTGGTTAGGGGGGAGATGATTGGAGTATACGGATATATATATATATATATATGCCACGTGGCATTGGCCTCCATACGGAGTTCTATGGTTAGC